GGAGCAAAAAGATATGTGTCTGACTATATAATTTCAATTTTTTTTAAAAAAAATTAAAATTCCATGTATATGAGCTTAAAATTTTATATTTGAATACTCCATGTATATGAGCTTAAAATTTTATATTTGAATTTTTCGTGTGTGTTTTGAAGTATTTTCTGTTGGAATTGATTGGGTGTTATTCTTTGATGTGTAGATTGTGGTGTTAAATTAATTTTTAAGGATTTCTTGCAACAAAAGAAATTATATCCACTATTGAAGGACCTTGAAGTTTGAAAAATATAAATTTGGATAGTTGAGTTTGTAGTTCTTTTGATCCTATTCTGACTGAGGTGTGCTAGGAATATTGATTGAAGGTTGTGGATAAATTTTAGTCAGTTTAGCGGAGATTTTAGAATATATTTTTGGATTTTTAGATCGATATTAAGTTGAACTAGCAAAGAAGACGAATTGTATAGTATATACCATTTTGATATACTATATGCCATTATCGTATACACCATATAATTTAATAGTATATAATTTACTATAATAGTATACTACTATAACATACAATATAATGTACAATATACTGTTATAATTTGGTTAGTTTTTAATTTTTACAAATTTCCAGTTGAATATATCATTTTATTATAGTGACCTATAAATTTTGTTACAATATGCTAGAAATACTTGTATTAATACACATTTTTTTTAAAAGGAGAAAAAGTAAAAGTAAAAGTAAAAAAAATGATATATTGTATAAGTTATTTTTTGATAAATGATATGGAGAAAAAGAAAAAAAAAAGAAAGGAAAAAAATAGTCTCTGCCATAGAGGGATAAAAAGTAAATGATGATTTACTATATTATAACTTATCTTTTTATTTATTGTATAAAGAGGAGGAATAAATTGTTTACCCTAAAAACGGATAACAATTGAATTTATATGTGGGTTTAAGGATATGTGGATTAATTCAATACAAGGGATTAATAGTGTTAGATTAAACAAATGAAAAATGTAATAGATGACCAAAGCAATGATAATGATGATTCCGAGTTCGCTTGATGGCTCGATGAAGAACCTGCCCTCGATTCCAAGCTTATACTTATGAAGAACTTAAGAACAAGAATAAGAACTTTGAACAACAAAGTGAATTGAAATAAATTGCCTTGATAGGCGTGTTACAATGTGTTTAATGAACAATTAGTTTTCCCTTTATATAGTAGGGGAGTTTCACCCTAAGTACAATTCTAAAAAAGGATAAAAATCTTTCTTTATGCTAATCACTGATTCACTGCTGATACGGGCCGAGATTTATGTCGTGACATGCGGTTGGGCACGGATACCATGGCTATTTGTTAGTCGTGTTCGGCCGCTTGGTAATTCTCTCCAAAGTTGAGGGACTCGAATCGGACCCGGGAGATGTGGCCCTGATGCTCCTGAGAACGGATGTTATGCTCGATACCCGATGTGAAAGGTTTCTGCCCAGACTCCGATTCCTTATGATCATGTTCCGGTCCCGTTTGTCTTGCTGGGAAACCGAGATGTTCAACGGGCTCGAAGTTATCCGTATACAGATAGTCCCCTTATTTCTTAGAGAGGAGGTTTACCGAAACAATGAGAAACGACAGAGGCTTTTCACCTCCTTCTTTAATACGCCGCAACAAAAACGACAAAGAATCCAAAACTTCCCGGCAGTCGCATCCTTCTCACTTCGAACACGTGTCAGTCATCGGCAGGTCACCTCTGAATGTGAAGCGTCACGAAACCTGTATAAAAGTGTTCATTCTTCATTCATTTTTCACCATTTGACTAAGCTTCTATCTTCAATTCTTAATCACCTTCTTCGTACTTCCCTATCTTTACCTCCGTTCTTCAAAATTTTTTAGTAATTTTCGGGTTTTTACCAAGTCTTTACCCAAATCAGCACACTTGACTCTTCATTTTTCAAAACCTTTTCTTAGACCTTTCAAGCTTTTTCAGATAACAATGGCCAAAACATCCAAATATGTTCCTCAACAAGTCGATCCTTCTCCTTCCCAATCGATCGCTGAAATCGAGGCAGTCACTCCTGATATAGTCATTCTCGAGATGTTTGCTCCTTGCACGGAAACCGATGAACCCGCTCCCGAGCCTCCCATGAAAATGTTCATCCCTAGGGGATGCTCAGTCGCAGATGACTTTAAGGTCGAAAAGCCCTCATCGGTGCAGGGTCTGGGTGAAGGAGTATCAAGGTATATATGCTCCATTACCGAAGACGTCCTTCCCGTGGTTCGAGAGGACTACAACTGGGCGGGTAAGGACATAGTAGTCCCCGGGCCTGAGGACGCCATCATTACCCATGTGGAGTGGTATCTAAGGGGTCATTTGTTTGCCGGTTAGAGTTATGCAGGTATTAGTTATACATATATTAGTTATGCAGGGATTATTTCTTTGAATGTTTGGTTTGTTGTATTAGAAATTGATATATATTATATAAATTTTAAAGTAAAATGCTTGTTTACAAATATACCCTTGGCCTTTTTTTGCATTGTTTTTTTCTCTCTATGCATTTATTAGGCAACAATTTAGTTAGGAACTTTGGGTGTTACTTTCACTTCTTCATCATACAACTATGTGAAGTTGCAGGCATATTTGATTTTCACTCCTTAGGTTTGGTATTCCCATTGTCTAGTGGCTTTTCCTGTTCGCTTTTTCTAATTTGTTATTTAAAAATGAGGCAAGGCAAGGTATATAGTTGGCAAGTGAAAGCAATGCAATTAAAACTGTAAAATGCAATTTACACTATCAAAAGCCATATGATGCAACAATTTAGACAAGACTAGTATTCTATTATTTATATTTACAACTTACTTAATCTATATCGTTAAATTAATGAAACTGGGCTACCAAAGTAAACCAAATCATTAAAGCAACTTTTCAATCATTTGCAGCATAGCCTCTTTCCAGGTGAAGCCATCATATGCAGCTTTAACTAAAGAACTACTAATCATATTTTTTTTGTGCTTATTCTCTGTCCACTTCTATATATAAGAGGATTATATGCATGTTGAAGTTTTGCATAGCAAAGCAGAAGTCTTTTGCCCACATAAGGAACAACAATAAGGAAATGACTGAAATTTTATAGATCAACAGAGTAAATAAGAAAATTAACAAAAGATATATTCAACAAAAAGAACCCAAAGGAAAAACTACCCTGTCCACCAAAGTAAACACCATAATGGTCTATTTCAGCAATATTCTATTTCCAACAGCAGTAAAACAGCTCTAAGTCACAGCAGATACAACACCAAATTTTAAATTTGAGCACAAGCAACAACAATTTAACTAGCTAAAAATAAAAATAAATTAGTGTTGGCTACTTCAGAAAATACTACGTCAAAATATTAGCAAATTTCTATGTGCATTTGTTATACAAAAATAACCTACTTTAAGGCAAGAACATCCACATATATTTATATTTGTGGACATTCATGATGTAACAAAATACAACATTCAGATATCACAAAGTAGCTACATAAAAACCATCGAGAGGTTTAAAGCTTGTCATTAATAATCATTCACACCATGGACTGACGATCAAGTTCACCCACGCTTAAAAAGAATTCCATTCTTTTTACATCTTGAGTAATTCCCATTGCTGCCTTGACTCGCTGATCCGAGCTGTATAACTCAAATGCTGGGGATCGAAGGATAGAGAAGATCTTACCACGAATATCAGATAGGTCACACTCCCCTAACTTGTCAATTAAAGCACCCATTCTATTATCATGGCTTTCAGTAAATTGTTTCATCACATCCACTATTCCTTTAAGAACATTCTCATTCTCATCCTCAATTGTTGTTCTTCTTCTTTTGCATTTACTTTTTTCATTAGTTTTAGAAGAGGACGCCTTAGAATTATTACCTTGTTTCTGAGTTTGTTCTGTTTCACCACTCTGAGTTGTCCTGGTGAATAAACTTTGTGCTGCTCTAGTTGATATATTAGGTTCATCTTGAGCAGTAAATGGACTTTGTGCTGCTCCAGTTGGTATATTAGGTTCCTCTTGAGCAGCTTGATCTCCTCCTGTGGTTGGAGCATCCCCGTCATCATCTTCATCAACCACAACGAGAGGAAATCCCAAACACATGTCATTAAGAGTTTCCTGAGCTTCAGTTCTTTCTATTTCTTCAACGGCGTCTTCTGGACCCTCAGCAAACTCTCCAGTTGCTCTATCCTTGACAAATATTTCTTCCCAATCAGCAAACAATGGCCATTTCTTCGAGTTCATTGACTTGGCAAGTGGATCAATCTAATGAACAAAAAGAAGTACAAGAAATAGTTAGAAATATTCCAAAGACAGAGATCATATTTACCAAGAAAAAGCATAAGTAACTAGAAATATTTCACTAATGATTTAAAAAGATGTAATTCACCTTTATAAAGTCATCCCAAGCTTTTGGATAGTCAACTAAGATAGTTCCATCGTTGTATTGGAATCCCAATCCACTTCGACTCTTTAGTAACGATATGCTTGAATAACTCCTCTTCCATGCTCTTATTTTAGAATCGATATGTGGTTGAGATTTCAATCCGAAATTAGGATGACGAGCATGCATGTAGCGTTCCAACTCCATTAAATGTCCATTCTTAAAAGTTCCATTATCTCCTCTCCAACCATTAGCACACAATTCTTTTAATGCATCTACAAAAGTGAGTTCCTCTTCTGGAGTCCATACCCTTCGAGGCTTAGGTGTTGTTTTTCTTGCCCTTTTTGAAGCTCCATTAGATGTTCTTGCTGTAAAACTAGTCATTTCAATCTATAAAAATACATAAGGATTCACTCCTGCCAAAAAATAATGTGAGGCATACATAATGACTTACTACTTATCTTCAAAAATATATTGTCAAAGATATATTAAGATTCACTATTTGTCTCCACAAACAACAATGTGAGACATACAAAAAGATTCACTATTTGTCTTCACAGAACAATGAAGCTACTACTATTTACAAAGATAATCTAAGAATTACAAGGATTAATTGCGAGATCTTTCATTCCACATAGACTGAGCTAACTCATCCCTCCAAGTGGTCCACTCATCAGATGGTTCAACAGTAATAATATTTTCATTTTCATGTTGATGCTCCCTATGGTTTTCCATTTGCCCGTCTAAGGGGTCGACATTCATCTCTATTCGAATGAAATTGTGTATCAAATAACATGCACTAATGATTCTATTATGGACCTTAACCGAGTACCATGAAGGAGAATTCTCCAACGTCCTTTCAGTATACCAAATGCTCTTTCAATAACATTGCGCGCTCTAGCATGCTTCATATTAAAGAGCTCTTCTCGGCATCAAGGTGGTGGATTATCACCTTGCCAATCCTTTAGCAAGTATCTATATCCTCGGTAGGGTGAAAGAAAACCATTTCCATTTGTATATCCTCTGTCGCATAAATAATAACTGCCTAAAAAGTATAAAAATAATATAATTACTTAAAAATATTAATTTATTTTTGATTAATTGGAATAGATAAGTGTGTGTATATAGCATACCCTCGGGGTACTTTCAAACCATTCCTTCGTACAACTGCATCTCGCAATACACGACCATCAATGGCCGATCCCTCCCAACCAGGTAATACATAGATAAAGTTGAGATTTTTATCACAAACCGCCAATACATTAGTTGCTATATCTCCTTTTCGTGTCCTGTATCTTGGTTTATGTATAGATGAAACTCTAATGGGAATGTAAGTACCATCAAATGCACCTAGACAACCCTATAAAATAAATTAAAGTCTAAATGCTAAAACAGAGTTATCAATAAAATACTTAATAATAATATTTAAATCTTTCTATAGTTAATCGAATGCTAGACTGAAATTTACCAACCTTAAACCATCTCCATCGGTCATTAGTCTCATCTTCCAGCACCGGATTAGGTTTAACAAGTAACAATGGAGTTAGTTTGAGAATAACTCTTAGACATTCATTGAAGGCTTGACTTACACTCCACCCTGATCTAATATAATCAACCTTGATAGACCTGTTCTTCTCGTGATGAGCCAAAATAGTTAAGAACATTGCTAACTTTTCACTACTGGACATATTTGTACTATCCGTCAACCCTCCAACATCCTTGGCTAAGGTAGCTAATATGTGAAAGGCATTTCTATCCATCCTAAGCTTATCAATACATACAATATCATTGTCAGGGATAATAAAATTTAGATGAGACTGGATTTTAGGAATTCTAGCACTCATGCAATGTCTAATGACCCGTCTATTTCTACTTTGTCTTCTTAAGAACATGCTGTAAATAGCCATAAAAAGGCAAATAAGGACCATATAATATTACACCACAATCTCCTCAAGGATGATAAAGCATTCAACATCGCATAATTGCTGAGGATCCATAAACACCTATTTGCATTAAAAGATGCAAAATTATTATTAAACTGAGCATATATACTGAAACATATATTACATATTAAACAAACGTTTTTCAAGTTCTTGTTTTCTTCTCCTGGACAAATAAATTTCATAATTGCTACACTAAAACAAATAATTTTGAAGTCTTATCAACCAAAAGTAGTCTTATTAGAGTATCACTTTTTTGGTATTTAATTAATCACCAAGTTTTAGACCTTCGATGTTTCTGAATCTTAAAAGAAATGACAATACTTCAAACACAAAGTCAAGGTTGATCTCATCTTGCAATTTCTGAAGCTAAAAAAACCGATTGGAAAGAAAAAGATTTTGCTTTTAACAAACAAAACAAAACCCGTATCAAATTTGGGTGTACTCAAAACTTCAACTTTACTAGAAAATATTGAAAAAATTAAGGTTTCATCCATAAATTCGTCTCTCAGCAGATTCACAAGAGAAAATCTGTAGGCACTAGATCAGAGAAATATATGTCAATTTACTGATTTTGTCTCTAATAGATTGAGAAGAGGAAGAGCCTAGCAGTAAGGCATCAGTATCTCCATTCTTCCTCTCCAAAGAGTTTGATACAGATCAATATCGAAAGAAGCCTTTTATGTATAAAGTGATAGGGGTAAATTTGTCATTTTAATATTTTATCCATATATTACTAATACATGTATTAGTTATTTCATCTTCTACCCCGCATAAAATAATACACAGATTGATGCATAACTTATACATGTATTATTTATGTATAATTATAAAATTCCAACAAAACATGGTATTAGTTATGCTGATTTTTATACAAAATTACTAATGGCTACCAAACATGGTATAACTTATGTTACCCCCAATACATGAATAACTTTTATCCTAACCAGGTACCAAACGACCTCTAAGTGTTTACACTTATCCCTTCACATTGGGCCCGGTGGAACCAGTTATCGCAAAAGGTACGAAGTATGCCTTGGTCAGATCCATCCGCCATTGTGGAGGGTCGTGATCCTCCTTTGTTACTTTGGGAACAAGACTGAATTCCGTCGGTTAACCATCGATCACCTATTCTGCCTATACAGTCCCCGAATCTTTAGAAGGGGACTAATAAAGCTCACATATCGGGACAACAAAGCCCCATTCTCGAGTATCGACGAGGACCTAGAACGGGGCTGGCATGGATGCTTCATTCAAGTGAAGACCGAAGACTTGATTCCCTCTGAGTTCATGCCATTTCCCTAGAAGTGGAATGCATCTCGTAAGTTCATTTTCCCTTTGAACACCATTTTACGTTCATCTCCTTTTTTCTCACTGGCACTTGTGGTGGTACAACCGTCGCTCGAGTCCCAAATGCTATCCCTCAGATCAAGGAGTGGGTCAAGGGCATTTGTTCACAGATGCCTTATTCTGAGGGAACATGGCGCAAACTCTCAAGGGGCCGGTGGGAGACCCGTTCTCACGGTAAGGCCCTTCCCCGAATAGGTAACATCAGGCTATCCCTTTCGCATCGTACTTACTCTCTTTTCTTCACTTTTGCTTTTGTAGGTTTTCCTAAGACCATTGAACTAGGCCTTCAGAAGGGGACGGGGATGTGTCCTTATCCATTGACCCTTCTACTTTGGGACAGCTCGGGGCTGCAGTGGAGGAAAAGAATAAAAAAGAAGGCTTCGGGCTCCCCGAGCTTAGAGAAGAAGAAGCTAAAGAGAAGGTTGGCCCGTAAACTAAAGGAAAGTTCTAGCTCTCGAGCACCCGACTCGGACTCGCTTCTTCGGCTCAGGGATAGGCCCGAGGAAGATGATTTTTTCGTGGCCCAAGGGCCGACTCCTCCTGAGGAGTAGGCGGCTATTGAGGAGGAGATCCTTGAGGGCGATCTCCCTCAGACTCGGGAGGTTGATGAGGAAACCGGGTCTGAGACTTCCAGGGATTCCGGCTACGCTCCAAAGGAGGCGCCCGGTGTAATAGAGATTTTAGGGTCGCCTTCCTATACCGAGTCCATGCTCGAGGAGGCCCGAGAGGGGAAGGAGAGGTCTAACGAAGGGGAACATGGTGTGGATGATCCCCTTCGTTCTTTTTTTGACGGCGTGGACTCGTCCATCTTGGAAGACTTTTCTGTACTGGGAGACTTGGAAGTGCCGAGAAATGATCTTTCTTCAGAAGTCAGCGGGATGAACTCGAGCCCAAAGTTAACCAACCAGTTCCCTGCCCCGAGTGTGGATCCCGACCGTTAGAGGTCGATAATCATCAATGTCCCGGAGGATGCCCTGGTTTTTTCTACTCCTCTGGGAGTAATGAGCTACCTCTGATGCCTGGTGACCGAAGAAGACCAGGTGAAAATGAATGAGGTGGACGTGCCATGCCTGTTCAACGAAGGGTAGCAAGCGCTGAATCGGGTAAGGCATCATTATGCTCTTTTGAACTTTGACTTAGTTTCTGATATTTCTTAGGTTTTCTTCTTTTACCCTTTTACAGGCCTCGGTACTTCATCATGAAAGCTTTCTTTAGTACTGGGCTGAGGTCAACCAGCTTGAGCTTGAGGTCAAGAAGCTTTTCGAGAAAAGAGATATGTACAATCTTCTCAGCGAGTAACACGAAGGGGCCATCAGGGACCTTTAGGCCGGGCTGAATGAGGCTCAGAGGGAGGCTTCGAACCTGAGGCGGGAACATGCCGATCTGGTCGAAAAGGTAAAGGTTTTTGAAGTTAGCAATGAAGACTTAGCCATGGCAACTAACGACCAACACTCACAGGTTCAACAGAATATTGACCGGATCGACCAACTCCGAGCTAAAATGAATAAGGTCCAAGCCATGGCCGATGGTTGGAAGAGCAAAATGAACCGTCTTGATTCACAGAAGGTAACTGCTCGGGCACAGCTAGCATCAGTAGAGGTTCAACTCTGGGTGGCGAAAGAAAAATCCGACAAACGGTCCCAGTTGAATGATGAACTCCGATCAAAATTGAGCTCGACTCTGGCAGAGCGGGACTCCCTCGGTTATGAATGTAAAGCTATAAAGTCTTAGCTTCACACAACCTCCGTCGATGCTGAAGAAATGGTAGCCCAGTAAAGGGCCGATGTCGAAGCAGTCGAGGCTCACCTGAAGACTACTGCTGAGTACGTGAGGTAGGTATCCCGGAGGGAGACCCTCGAAGAGATCCATGCCAGAGGCTTTGACCTGTCGGCCGAGATCGAGGAGGTAAAGAGACTTGAGATCGAGGCCAAGAAGCTAGTTGAACCCGAAGATGAAGAAGGCTTTGAGGGATCCAAACAACCCGAAGGCCCCGACGGCTCTGGTGACGAGTTGGGTTTTGGTGAATATCAGGCGTAGATCCCTTGAGGCCATTTTTGTTGGGCCTTTGTAAAGATATTCTGGAATATAAAATATTTCCCTTTTGGAAATATGCAAGTCTATTATCTTAGCATCTTTTTACGATTGCAAATATTTCTAATGCCTTAGCGCAGAATCAAATGTAGTAATAAGTCGCTTTTCGGAGGTTCGAACAAGACCTGTCCTGGATACAATTTTTGCTCGAACTTGTGTAAGCTCGGAGTGAACAGAAATTTCCCCAAGATGATTCTTTAAATATTGTTAGACTGTATATTTGCCGAGGGTAACCTCTGAACATGTTTAGAATTTTATTGAAGGTCTTATGTTTTGATTACGGGCTTCGGACGTCTCCCAACCATTTTTAGGGTGGCCGTAGCCTTTTAGGTTTGGGAACTGCCTAATAGGTTTTGTGCCTCCGGGTTTCGATAACCCGAGACACCCGAATTTATCTCGGATGGTAGTCCCCGAGTGGGGGTAGCCCTTTGGGCTCGGATAAGGGTGGCCCTTGGGCTCGATAGTTCCCGGGTAGGAGTAACCCCTAGGTTCGATACTTTTAAGAAGCAAAACATGTTTATTAGTAAGGTAGAAACTTTCTTTCATTTCTGTGTGTAACGTACAAGATTGTAAGCATGTAAAAGCTCGTATTATGGCTGAGGTGACCTATGCGGTCACGGTTCATTCGACCGTGGGCCCTTACAATAAATCCTAACCACTAATCCTAAACTGTTCGAGCATAGAGTTTCCTTCCTTGCTAAAAATCATGACCCGGGGGTGATGGCCCCCGGTATTTGAGGTCGATCTTCGAGTGGGCTCGGATATTGCTGATGCGACCATTGACTCCGATTTAAAACCGGTCTTCGACTCTAATTTAGCACGGTTTATTGTTGCCTTGTTAAAAACCTTGCCGGAAAACTCATTTGGGACAAAATCGGTTCAAAATAAAAAGAGTGCAACGCATGCTTGAAGACCTAATAGCTACATTTTCCTTTGGTTGTTACCTGCAAGTGTTAGCCCAATTCGTAATATAAAACATAAATAAAGTGAATGAGGTCGTACCTTAGTAGTAGTATCGTTTAAGTGAGTCACGTTCCAGTTGTTTGGTAGTTGTGCACCATTTCCTGCTTCGGGTTTATAGGAACCTTTATTGTTAATCCCGATGACTCGATATGGACCTTCCCAATTCGGTCCTAACTTCCCTTCGTTCGAGTTCCGGGTGCTCTATGTTACCCTTCTTAACATAAAGTCCCCGATATTGAAGTGTCGGAGGTTGGCTCTTCGGTTGTAATATCTTTCTATCCGCTGCTTTTCGGCAGCCAGCCGGACTAGAGCGGCCTGGCATCTCTCATCCAGTAGTTCTAAGCTCGTGCTCAAGGCCTCGCCGTTTGATTCTTCGGTTGCATATCGGAACCTAAGGCTCAGTTCTCCCACCTCGA